AGCGCTCCTTGACGGACTCGAACAGCCGTGACATGAGCTCCGATTCTCCGGGATTCTCTCCGGTGTTGCAGCGCCACCCACAGCCAGGCGCCAGTCGTGGCCGCTTCCCGGCACCAGTCGACAGCTACACGAGCAGCGCACACTACCGCACGGACTGCAGACGGTCGCCCGTAATGGCTGGATTCACCAATGACGCAGCACTAGCACCGGTGGACACGGGCACTATGAGATGTGCTGGTACCGGCCGTCAGTCAGCCCACCGGCCTGGCAATGCACCGCAGCAGCAGCAGCACTATCTACACCAACAGCAGCAGTGCTCCAGCAGTGACAATGCTGCAGGCGACAGGACACCAGCCGACACAACCGTGGAAGCAGAGGACTACACGCCCATGGCAGACCTGCAGACAGATGATGATGTCAGCGAGCACACCGCCCCCTCTCGCATCGCCAGGCATGGATCATCCTGCTACGCACGCCCGGTGAAGAAGACCAGGGTAGCATGCCAAAGCCCGACGGTGAAACGGGCAAACACACCCACTAGAGATCAGCTTGTAGCTTCAGGCCCGTACCCCGAAGTGCAGCACATACAGCAACATCAGCAGCAGCAGCAGCGGCAGCAGCAACATCAGCAGCAGCAGCAGCAGCAGCACCCACCTCCACTGAGCACGGACTTGGCTACACGCACAGTAGCCTACTCGCAGCCAAGCAGGCAGCAGTGTCACCGGCGACCACCAAGGAGCTACTTGCCAGCAAGCAGAGACTGCTCCTCACCGTACAGTGAAGACAGCGTTAACAACGTGTTTGCAGCTACCTGTACACTCTCCGACGAGCAGCTACATGAAGAGTATGCCGTGGAAGTCTAGCTCGCACTTTGCCCTTCTGTGAAAAGATCACTTTGCATCAACTTCTTCATATCTTTCAGTGTATTGCTTGCCCTATGTATGCGGCACATGAGTGACAATCAACCAGGGAATCTCCGCGCCATTCTCTTCTTTTAGGTCGTTGTGTTGTCGTTCTTCTCTTTCTTGGCACGAGTGAACCCCACACCACATACTACTACACACACATACCGACGCTCATTATTAGTGGTAACTGTATTAAAATGATCTTTTTTTATTCTGATGTGTGCCATTACTCATTATCATTACTCATTACAGTGTACTGGGGAAATGTTTCTTGTTGCATGAGTTTGAATGTGAGTTTGAATGTGAGCCGCCACTACAATAGGACTGTTGAGTGTTCACACATGAGCCCTGTAGGAGCTAACGAAAACTGCTGCATTTTTGTCGAAAAGCCTAATTAATAGAACAGAAGTTGTAACCATTCCAGCAAGCATCTGTGCATCTGAGTTCTCGACAGCAAAGTAACGTGTGGGCGTGTGTATTTACTATTACATTTTTATTACGTCCCAGATAAAGCCACCAGTGCTCTGGGCTTATTGTTCATGGTCACAACGCAGAATATTCTTAAAGGGAAGACGCTTGGCTAGCACTATATAGCTGTGGAAATGGAAAAAGTAAAGGAAAGTTTTTTTTAACGAAGCATTAAAAAGCCCTGAAACCCGCCAGGGGCTGGGAAGTAGTAACCATGGAAACCGAGATAATCAAGTGAATAATGAATATTGTATTGTGTAGTGTAGCTAGACACCAGAGTAGCAGTGAGGCACAGACACCAGAGTAGGAGTGAGGCACAGACACCAGAGTGGCAGTGAGGCACAGACACCAGAGTGGCAGTGAGGCACAGCTAAAACCTCATTTGCCAGGTTCCCAGAGTAGCAGTGAGGCACAGCTAAAACCTCATTTGCCAGGTTCCCAGGTGCGACCATGCGTGTCCACTTGCATGTGCTTGCTGTCCCAGGTCCACGGCTGGTCGGCGGCCGAGTACGGTGTCAAGGGCAGGTCGTACGGCAAGTGCAATACCACCACAGACTTACCTGCTGCAGCAGAGGATGCCGACGCGCTTGCTGCTGCCGGTGGTGATGACGATGCCGCAGCCGTCGACCCTGATGACGCTGCTCCCGACGACGCTGTCGCTGATGTGCTCGTATCCGCCGGGGGTGACTCCGCTAGTGTGAACGAATCCACACCGAATGATTTTGGCAGGAAGAGAACGCCCATCTCATAGGAGCGTATAAATAGCTGTTGGCGTTGCTTTTCAAACGAACCCCAAGCGGCCTTGGATAGATTTGCACTGCATGGAAAGAGGAAAGTGACAAGCAAGGGAATAACAGCAGCAGCAGCAGCACATCAGCAGAAGGCTAGCTTTAGACTAGTGTGCCAATCACCCTTCAGCTGCAAACATGAGAGGTTGCTGATCATACGTTGTGAGTTGTGATCATTCAGGAGTACTGGTGCACTGCTGTATCTTCAGGAAACTTTGTTTCCACAACTGACACGTCTACACATCTACTTGTTGGCGGCAGCTTGAACGTCTAGAGGCTTAACGATAGGGCACATGTTTTTTGTTTTTTTAATCATTGCACTAAGCACGTACTTCAAAAAGTGGCGGACATCAATTATTATTAATAATTTTTCAACATCACTAATAAAAGAATTTTAATCCAGCGCATGCGCCAAGAGTGAATAGCAACTAAATAGAGCAGTTGTCAGTTGACAAACCCACTTCTATTTTTCAAATACTTAAAGTTTGACGAACAAGCATACAATGTGATTACCTTGTTACTAAAAACCATGCTGCACGGTTACCGTTGGGAGAGACACGGGCATACGTCTTGATGTGTGGTGATGCCCTTGTGCGACCTTGAGTGTGCGCCTTCCACGTATGCAAGTACTTCTTGAGCCAGGGTTGCTTGGCCGCATTGGCCGCGCTGTACGGCAGTGAGCTTCCAGCAAAGTAGCCCTCTGTGCTGTTTCTCACCGTCTCGACGTTGGGGAAAACGAGCTTGAGCGGAGAACTGCTGGCAGGCTCAATGCCTCTATTGCTGGCCGCCAAACTGGAGAGCCACTCTCCTGAAAGCCAAGCTGCTGGCGTAGCGCCGAGCGCACCGATACTGGAAAACTGACCGAGCACTGGCCATGCAGTGGGTGCCTTGCATTCAGCTCTGAGAAGCCTGCCGAGGCGAGTGTGACCCCACTTGGTCAGCTGCGGTCCAGCGTGACGACCCGGCACCGAAGCAACAAGCTTCACATTGGCTGCCGTCGTGTCGTGCTCTGCAATTGCCTTCTTCCACGGGTCGAGGCTCTTTGTGCCCTGTGTTCCGTACGCATCTAGATAGGCCAGCATGTCAGACGCGAACTCGGATCGTTTAGGTGGCGACGCTCCCTGGCTTGCAGGGAATTTGGTGAAAAGCGGACTAATCCAGATAGCCTGCGTCTTGGCAAGCCAGTCACGATCGATGAGATTGGCAGTGTGGATAACAACCCGCATGCCCTCCTCGTACAGCAGAAACATCATCTTGGTGTGGTGAGTTCCGTAGGGTATGTCCAAACGTGCTGCCATTACCTCCACATCGTTGTTACCAGATGCTCTTGCAGCAGACTGCCTTGGACCAGAACAGAACAGGAGAGAACAGATGTGAGACACACACACAATCGCAGAAAAGAACTTCACTCAGAGTCTATTCAGCCCATTCTACCACTACTGAGCAGCTTAATGTGTCCCCATGGAACACTAAACAGAAGTGGAAGTTTGCCAAGTCGCTTGCTTACATGACCAAAGGGGAGTTGTAAATGTGAATGCCAGTACCTGGTGCAGGCAGAAGTGCAGCACTAAGAGGCCATCCGTAAATATAGACATTTATTTAGAAACGAAAACTAGTCATTTAGGGGGGAGGAGGTTGAGCGCCTGTTCGTTTCTCGAAAAAGATCGATGTACATTTTGCATGTGTGAGCATGTACAGAAAAAAGACCAAAAATATCGATACTGTGTACCTTTTTGTATGTGTTCGTTTCTCAGGGAGGGAGGAGTTGAAGAGAAACGACTACAGTCAACTTCGCTTATAACGACTGCGGATATAACGACAATTCGCGAATAACGACAGCATTACCGTGCCCAGAGCAAAGTCCCTTCCAACTGTAATACATATAATGAGACTTCGGGTATAACGACACTTCGCGAATAAGGACACTTTTTTGATGCCCGGCCGAGTGTCGTTATACGCAAAGTTGCCTGTACATGTAGTTCTCGTTTCTAAATAAAATTTAATATCGGTATTTACGGAAGGCCCCTAAATACAACACCAGATGTCTTCAACTCTTTAGCCTAGCACAAGCAGCAGTGATGCCATGGCTATGTGCATGACAGATGAATCATTGTCATTGATTGCACCAATCCCTGTGTGTGTGTGGATTAGATCATCATAACATCACGATGTCCCTCGTGATGACCAAGAGTACCCCAATCCCATGCTAAAATGAATGCTAGCTAGCGGGGTCTGTGAGCTTTCAGATACCAGGTGTCAAGCAGAACATGGACCTTATCAGTAACATGGGAGCATGAGTGATGATAATCATGATATCCATAACTGTTTTCGTGGCACAATTGGCATTTCATGAGCTAGGTGTCCTCAAATTTCACAACTGGAGGTTTTCAAGAGTTTCCCCGCGATAAAAGTTTCAGAAACTCATCGTCACGCATCCCATCACCCTGCCACTCTTGGTTTTGTACAGTCGTCGCCAAAAAAATCCGGCCAAATGCAATGCTAGCCACCGGTAGCTGCATGGTGGGCGGCATGCACTGCCAGCACTAGTAGAGCTAGAGAGGTCTGCATGGCACATGCTGCCTGCAGGCCTGTGCAGTGCTCGACCCGACTGCAGCAGGCAGAGTGCAGCGCAGACTGACCAGTGCTGTGCTGTGCTGGTACTTTAAATGAATGCATGCCACCATGATTCATGAACGATGAAGTAGCGCCGGTGAACGCGTACCATACCACAGTATCCATGGCATTGGCCGGATATTTTTTGGCGACGACTGTATATTACGAATATTTGAAGTAGCCAGTACAAGCCCCCCCCCCCCCCCCCCCCCCCCCAGCTGCGCCCCTGGACTGTATATACGTGAAGCACAATAAACAAAACATTATACATGGTACTACAGTGGTCCCTCTATAATCCGGCACCATTTGTGCCACGAAAATCTGCTGGATTAGGGAGGGTGCTGGATTAACAAATCTGATTTACTTCTGCAATGTACATGAAGAGGACATTTTGGCTACTGAAAATTGTGCTGGTTTATCGAGGGTGCTGGATTATAAAGTGCCGGATTAGAGAGGGACGACTGTAGTAGAATTACTAGGCAAACTGGCACACGTCCACGCATTTCATATCGTGCAGTTGTGGCCAAAGAAACCCGCCCCGTGAACCGAAAGCAGCACCAAGGCTCACGCGGTCCCTGCAATTCTCGGATGGGTTTTTGGATCGTGCATGATGTAAATGTAATTGAAATGGAACGGCGTTACTTTTGACTCACGGGTCGGATTTCTTTGGTCACGACTGCACATGGCCTGCAAGATGGTGACTTTCACGAATGTGCCTGCATGTACACTTGTGCGCATTGTGTACAATTAAAATTTTGCTTTATTCAAATTTAACTATTACTTATTGGTGAATGCCTATGTGTGGGTACGGGTTATGATGTCTTCATGGTGCGCGGTGAATGAAAATTTAATGTTTGTGTCATATCCCACCTGAAGGCGAAGGCGTGCTTCTCTAGTGCGCTCTCCATGAACTACAAGCAGCGGACGCTTGCGAAACTCCACAGGGTATTGCTCCAATAACCACTCCATATCCACCATGTAGTTGAACTGAGCAGACGACTTCAGGTTGCCCATCAACGGGGAGAGAATTTCTGACAAGGTGGCACACCTTCCATTGTTGTTTTGTCGAGGATTTATACCTCTGGCTCGACTCAGGAAGTACAAGGGACGGTCGGGATTGGAGTCGAGAAGATGCAAAGGTGGTGGAAGACCTTTTTCAGCACCAACCACCTCTATTCTGGGCCTCTTGGCCGGCGGTTCGCCAGAGCTTCTGGAAGACATCTTCTCACAACTATCATTCCTTCACAGAAACGCACACCGAATGATCTTCAGGCTTTTTGTGTTTTGAACGCGTTGCAACATGAATGAGCCCGAGTTTGAAATGTGTCAGGTGCGTGGGGCTTTCCCCATTCTGCCTTTCAAGCTTCAGACCAGGGAGTACTACCAAGAGTACATAACCCCCCGGGGGGTTATGTACTCTTGGTACTACTACCAAGAGTACGGGGTTATGTACTCTTGCTACTACTGTAAAAGCAGAAAATTTCGGTGGTGTTTTATTTTCGGTAACTAAATTACTTCGGTGCCGACAATTTTTACCGAAAATAAAACGCACCGAAATTTTCGGTACAACCGATACTGTATACATGTACAGTAGGTATCGGCAAGAGTACATAAACCAGATAGAAGAGTGTGCAACTCGGGATGGTTCCTGTGGGAGCGTAATTCGTGCACTACGTCATTTCTGACGGCATGGTATTGATGATGGTAAGCCACAGGTACGGTGAAAAGTTTTTTTTTTTTTTTTTTTTTTTTTTTTTCATGTAAACGCTCACCTCTTTCAGGATTTCGGTGTTTTAAATGTTTGGCACCTATGAAGTCAGGGGATGGCCCACGCCTGGTAAAAAAACAATGAGGAGTTAAATACAAAGAAAACGAACTGAAAATACAAAAGTAAATGAAACACCATTACCAAAGAAACTGTACTGTATCATGTACACCGTTTATGGCACCAGGGCACATTCAGCAGCTGCCAGCACAGCCGAACCAGACAGATGTCGAGGCGGGTTCCGACGGTGACCACGTAGACTGGCAACCATTGATCGAACAAGGCAAAAGGAGATCTTACGGTGAAAAGTTGCGTAACCAGTCGCGGTGGTGCAGTTCACTGAGTTTGTCCTGATTTCGGTTTTTTGAGACGGATAGCCTGGTGACTTTACTTGTCGGTGGATGTACGCAGCGTACACAGTCACACAAAACACCGAAATCCTGAAACAGGACGCCTAAAATCAAGCAAACTTGGCTGATTTCCGGGCTATGAAACATGAAAATTTGAGCTGTACGCAAGTCGCGGCTTGGCTGACCTCATCAGGGTGACGTAGTGCACGAACTGCGCTGTTTCAGATCTGATATGCACAGTTGCACACTCTGGTTTATGTACTCTTGGTATCGGTTATAGCGTGGGTGTTTGAAAAACGACATTTGATTCTTATTGCCGATATTTCTTACACACGATAAATCACGTGTGACATATCATATGCACGTGTGACATCATACATGTACAATCATGTACATGTATGCGCGCACGTTTGGCATGTAGACACGTACACATGATACACGTACACACCAGGGAGTCGTAAAATACCTGGTACACACGGATATCAATCAGACTCGCGGTCGTGCTAGGCGACTGCGGAGCAGCGGATACGAGAGAAGTCGGAAGAAAGAGTCTGACTGGACAGAAAAAGTGATTCTCCAATGCTCCCTTGGACATAACTCTCTTTTTGTGTTGAATATTATTGTATTGAGTATGCACAGAGCACAGATGTTATTACTACAGGCGATACACTTTGCACTAATCTGGCATATTTTGCTACACAAAATCCATTCTTAGGGTCGATATATTCTACTATGCGATAATACTGCATGTAAGAATAAATGTACACATAAAATATGTGTTATGATTATGAAAAAATGAGTGTTCATTCTTGTAAGCAGTATATTCTTGTATACGACCACACTATAACCGATACGCACTGTAGTACTAGTACACCTACCTGGAGAACGGGTTTTACCGAAAATTTCCCGCTACCGAACCGCCGACTTTGGCGAATACCGAAAATATTACACCACCGAAAATTTCTGCTTTTACAGTACTACTAGCAAGAGTACATAACCCCCCAGAGTGTGCAACGCCTGATCCAGCTCTGCATAGGGTCTTGGTCGAGCGGAATCGGATCTTTGCGTCATAATACCGTACAAATCTGAAGGGAACCCGGGGAGTCGCGGGTACTCTTGGATCAAAAACAATGGTGCCCTGCCTCGAGACCGGCCTTGCACTGGTGTGGAGTGTACGCATGACATCAGAAGATCCGATTCCGCTCGACCAAGACCCTATTATTATTATTATTATTATGAAATGACCCAAAGGCAATGTGCCTATCGAGGGGTTCATTTGATTGAAAGAACAGTAGATGTACAATGTAGATGTATGTACAAAGAGAAGTAGGGATTATGCAGAGCTGGATCGGCGTTGCACACTCTGGGGGGTTATGTACTCTTGCTACTAGTATCAAGAGTACTCTTGCTAGTATTACTACCAGGGAGTAGTAAAAATTCCCATACTGACTGTAGTACAACTCCGTGCTTCAGACAGCAGGGAGTAAAAATATTACTCCATGGCCGGCAGTGCAGCGCGCCTCCTCCCTGCATCCTGTTTTCGCCAAGTAACACACGGGTACGTTAGTTTCGGTTTGTGTCCTCGACCCTCGGCTCTGGTTGTTCCTGAGAGTCGTGCCCAAACCATGGGCATTAAGATCGACTTTATTCGTAGACGAAAATGATAGTAGCCGACTGGCCCATACCATGGGCCATGGCTGTAAGCATTACTACGGTGTTTCCACAAAGGCCGTGTTGGTTAGGGCCATTCTCTTGATTTCTATAATAGACCAGGTAGACAGGGAGTCGTGTCTGTCATCGGGTAGGTTATCATGAGGAACTTGGAAGTTGTATAGACCCATGAAACTCCCTGGTTATCATCATGGACATCTACTGACTGTGTCTTGTCTTGACTTCCATTCTCTCTCTCTCTCTCTCTCTCTCTCTCTCTCTCTCTCTCTCTCTCCCTCCCTCCCTCCCTCCCTCCCTCCCTCCCTCCCTCCCTCCCTCCCTCCCTCCCTCCCTCCCTCCCTCCCTCCCTCCCTCCCTCCCTCCCTCCCTCCCTCCCTCCTCTCTCTCTCTCTCTCTCTCTCTCTCTCTCTCTCTCTCTCTCTCTCTCTCTCTCTCTCTCTAACTCTCTCTCTCTCTCTCTCCCTATCTCTCTCTCTCTCTCTCTCTCTCTCTCTCCTCTCTCCTCTCTCCTCTCTCACACACACACACACACACACACACACACACACACATCACACACACACACACACACCTTTGGACCTTTGGAAAGTCCATCGCCGAAGGCGATGATAGCGGCGAGGCAGTAGTTCTTGTGTCAGGATAAATCATTCGGACGGCGAAAGTCGCGGCCGCAGACACAGACGAACACTCTTGGTCGGGGCTGGCTTGGTGGCTTCTCTCTCTCTCTCTTTCTCTCTCTCTCTCTCTCTCTCTCTCTCTCTCTCTATCTCTCTCTCTCTCTCTCTCTCTCTCTCTCTTCTCTCTCTTCTCTTTTCCCTCTCTCTCTCAGATGCAGCGGCTAACGGTGGGGGTGAGGGGATAAGTCTCACAGTACCGAAACACCGGGTTTAGTCTTTACAGGGATTTCCAGCTACCATAGCTCTTCATATTTTCAGCTACCACAGGCCCATGGCTCTCCATATTTCCAGCTTCATGATCCCTGATGGTGTTGCTATTTGCGTGCAACTCTAGCTTTGTCGAAAGTCTGATGTACGTGTGCCCATTTGTGCTTATGCTAGACTCTTTCATGCCAGGCAAATGGTCTGGCAAGCTAAGGGGAGGGAACATCTGATGGCATGCAGTCGTGAGTCAGTCAAGTGTCAATTCGAGTCGGCAGGAAAAGCACGACCAGACCTCCCACGTTGGGAGCAACTCTCCATCTGCTTGGCCAAGCTATGAGTATCCCTACATGTCTGTGACCAGTTCCTGTCACTGGCGGTTTCTGAGCTTTTCTGGATCCTGCATGGGCAACTTCTGCTTTGTGGTTTCAAGGCCTCTCTCTTCCTGTCCTTTCCTTTCCTTCTTTGCTTCTTTCCTTCCACACTCGCCCTTATGTTATTGGGCCCAGTTCGCGTTTAATGCGCGCAGTTTCGAAAGAAGCCCACTATGACCGTACTCTTGATGTAGGTTACTTTTCTCTTGGTGTCCTGGAATAGCTGCGGGCTCTGCTATCCTGCATTAATGCACCGCCGTAGACATCTGTTTCGTGAAAGATATCTCTGTACATGTGCTCAAGGTCAACGCAGATGCACTGTTGGTACTTTTTGTTGAGTATGAGCCTCGATATCCTTCCAACACCTGCAATCATGAGTCCATGGAGAGCTGGGGACTCTTGCGACACCTATGTATAATATAGGTCGTACATGCTTGCAGATGGACTCGTTCTATATTTTTATAGACCGTGCATTCTCGGTTGTGGAATTGGTTAGTACATCCAATATCGGTTGTCCCGCAACGGTACACAAAGATTGTGATTTCGATTACAACAAGAGTATTGCCAAACACACGGTGAGTAAACACCAATGTACGAAGTGTACTCGACAGAACCTTATCGGCACACCAGTAGGGCTTGGCGGATAATGCCGGCAGAAAAATTGGCAGAATTCGGTACTTTTTCTGGTAAGTTTCATGCATGTTTGGTATGTGGATAAAGAAATGGAGCAGAATTCGAGGAATTGCCCGCCATAAGGTTTGTATGGTTCTGCCAATTTCGGTTCAAAAAAAGCAGAATCTGCCACCTTTTCGAGCATTATCCGCCAAGGCCTACGTGACACCAGCAACGCAGGCTCAGTCGGCCTTCCCTGCAACAGTCATGCTCCACACTTGTGTAACCGTGTGTGGATACATTGCACAAACATGTGCATGTATACAGTACATTGAACTGTACATATTAAATGCAATAATTATAATAGTACAGTCATAATCATTGCACATACATGTACATGTACATAATCACTTACATTATAGCAACAAGGACGACTAATTGCACTTGTAGCTCTTCGGTCCTTTTTTCTTCTTAAGTTATAGCCTTGCGATCATCGTTCCACATTAATTTTACTAATGTTGCTCTCTCCGAAACGCTTGTTTACTTCAAAAGACTGAGTACATTATATGATATGTTTTAATGAAACTCGGATGTTGAGCCGATAGTAATAATAATATGTAAAGAGAACAGGACCTGCACATCACATAAGTTACGAGTTATGCCTAAAAGTCCACCAAAGTACCTGGATAATGATACAGTCAGATGTGCGACAACAAGGCACAAAACTGGCAGGGATATTGAGACATTCGACGACCTGACACCCTTCCCCCCCCCATTGGAACTTTCCTCACCTGAGCCTTCCAAGTTAGTTGGAAGGTTGTTGGTTTGCGCTTCCTACATGTATCGGAGCTACATGTAGGTGGCAGGTCGTCGAATATCTCAATATCCCTGCCAGTTTTGTCCCTTGTTGTCGCACTATCTGATTGTAACGTTATTATCTAGTTCCCTTGGTGGACTGTTAGTCATGACTCTTAACTACTTATACTACTTATAGGTCCTTTTCTCTTTACATAATACATTATACATGTACGTATTGCGTGAATAGCCCTAGTACAAAGTAGATACTACTCCTGTATGTAAAACACTACAATCATGATACGAGCACCATATAACCGAAATTAGCTCTACGCCACCATCGCCACTGCATACTTGAGAACGGTTTTATTCATAACACCACGAAGGAAGAGTCAAAGCAAAAAGACAACCCAATTTCGGAAATAAATAGAACACTCAATACTCAATTGAAATAATATTATTATATAATAATTATAATTGAACGCAAAAGCTTCACAAGAAAGCGCTACCTAGCGTTACCTATTGTCTCTTTCCCTCAAACCAGTTAATATTAAATAGGGGTGAAACAATTATACCGAATACTCGAGTACTCGCTCGGTTTTTTTCAGAAATAATCGTACTCGGAATAAATCAGAGTACTCGTTCATACATGGTACGTGCATTTACCACAGAAATCTGGAGTTTCAGAGCAGCAGTCGGCGGACATTGATGTACAGACTGTGGTGAACATTTGTTCACGAGTAAAGAGAGCCCAAATGACCCACCAACCAATATACCCGAGAAAATGACTACCACTCGGTTCAATCAGGGTTGTATCATGTGATTTTAAGGCCCTCGGTGTGCAATTTTTAGGAGATGAAGAATACTCGAATACTCGAATATATACTCGATCGGACAAAATCAGAGTACTCGAACTCGGGATCTAAATGCCAACTTTCACCCCTACTATTAAAAGTGCCCACTGGCATGCAAAGGCGAACGGTCACGCTTCTGCCCGTGTCAGCAGTGTCAGCAGAGCCGGCGGCAATAAGCTGCAAAGGGGCTCCCGACCTTGCGGCGAATGTAGGAGGCCCTGCAGCCCCTAAAGCACGTGACTTCCCATCGCAACAGGCAAAATGAAACCCGGGTGCGTAACTCACCCATCACATACTATACTAGTAGTAGTACACTAAGGACATGGTGGGGAGTGGAGGGGGCGGGGGTAATTGGCACGAGGGAAGGGAAGAGGGAACACACGACAGATAGGAGTTAACAAATCAAAACAACAAACCGATTACCTTCAACGTTCCTTCCCGTACTGTTTCCTTGAATTGTGGAACAGCCTCCCCGAGGACATCTTTCCCCGTCTGGCCAATCACTCTCCACTCACAGCTTTTAAAAAAGGTGTCAACAAACACATTTCAGACCAGCCATGGTCTTGGGACGTGCTTTGAAGCCCATCATGTTGATCGTCTCACTGTTCTTTCCAGATTGCACCTCTCGGTTTGGGGATGTGCATTGAAGCACCCCATACTAACGGTCTATACTGTCCTCTCTTGGTCACTACTCTCCCTATTACCTATATTGTAATTACCATTCATGTATTGCGCTTCAGATTTTCTTCCGTTTTTGTCTCTTGGTGCGTTACCGGCATGGCGATACTGAGACCTAATGGTCAGTGGAGTGCCTGTAGCCTCACCAGCACTGCTACTATCTGTGACTGTGGCGACCACCATTCAATGTCTCGTCCTCCCCTAACCGTACCCCAACTCTCTCTCAGCTCTCTTTTATCTGTCTTTTTCTTACTCTTTTTTCTTTGTCAGCTTTCCTGGTGGTTATGTGCTTTTTCAAGTAAAATAAAAAAAACAAAAAAAAACAATCAGGAACGGTTAAGCTATAAGAGGGAAATACCTGTAGAAACACAGCTCACTTCAACAGTTCGGGATGCCTTTCACTCAGTATTGATAGTGAAAATAGTGCCGACGCACAGCCACAACGATCAGGGACGTCCAGATTGATCGCAGTCACGCAAACATCCGGTTGTCAACATTAATAGCCACCACGACGTTGTAAGGTGAGAACTGAGAAGTCCATACGCTATCATGACCCTAGTGCCTCTTCATTTAGTCTCACGGGTCATTACCTTTGCGTTGCAGCAGTGTCACGTTGTGCCTACGCCACCCGTGCGGCGATGTACGAAACAGTACATGTCATGTGCATACTCACTCCGACCCATCCAGTTGGACTGGGAGGCACACTAAGAACAATGTTATCAGATACTCATGGTAGTGCAGGGTGAACTTAATTATTATTTGAGGACTCTGCACAAAACGTATCATTAGTGATCACGTATAATAACCTTGACCCCCGCCGGTACACGTCTGTGCTTGCGAGCACCTCCCAAGCACTATCGCCATCACACTTGCTCACTTCCTGATACCTTCAAGCCTTGAAGGTGTAGTGTTGCAGACAAGCAAGCTCTGGACCATACTTGCACAGCACCGGCTGAAACAAGACGTGTTGGGAGAGCGCTCTCACACTTCCCTCCACACCACCACTCACCAAGAGTACATAACCCCCCGGGATATGTACTCTTGACACCACCTATAGAAGATGCAACGCGTTAACGGTGTGGCTTGGGTGACGTCGGTCACTGGTAAGGACGGTTACAGGACACAAACCAGATGGATCAACTAATGACAGTAATACTAATGTGTGTTGCTTCTGGTGTGGCCCCGTACATGGCAGCGGGTATCATCGTCTTCATCCCTGTGGTCTGACCGAGTGACGGCCCCCCGGCCTGGGCCCCATGCATGCAGTGCCAAGTGGGTGGGCTGCGTGAACCCACTATGGACATGTACATCATGTCTACAGTAATTGTACATACCGTGAGTATGTCGTCTGCAGGAGAACTATTCGCCCACAGCAGCCGACTAAACAGCAAATAGCAGTCTCGCACTACAGCTGTGAACACTGTCAGGTACAATAGCACACATTACTCACGGTTCAGTGGTACATGTATTCCTAACAGCAGGCACCGTGTATTATGTTACGGTGTTTTCAACATGGCTACACATGACCACTGGCAGTTGCTGAAGATATGGAGCATTACCACCGACCAACAACTACAAAATTCTAAACATGCTTCAGGTCTCAGTCTGGAAACTAGTTCGAAGTAACCATGGACTGAAAATGGCAACCTTCTCTCTACTAACGGCACATACTGGTACAACAAGTACAAGAAGCCTGTGCCCAGTGTGGAGCATGATTAGACTACGACTGGTAGTGCCGCTGCGTGATCATGGTGATCATGGATGGTGATGTTCACAGTTCTCTTGCTGTTACTAGTATCAGATAGAGAAACTACGTAGTGCTGTGAAGACGCCTTGCAGTTGCAGCATTGACCAATGCGCCAACTAGGACCTGACTCAATGGTGGCAGTTCTGATAATTCGAAAGTGAAAGTGAAGAGTGAAGTCTTTGACTAGGTCGATAGGGCATGATGTTTGCCACCGTGGAGTAGAGTGAGTGAGTGAGTGAGTGAGTACGTACAATCATGTATGTGGGTAGTTCCACTGTGCAGCACTCGGCAAGCACTTTTAAAGCAGTCATTTCCACTCCCACGCCATCTAGCGGTCGTCTTCCCGGTGTCAATGTATACTTAGCAGTGCTGACAACTTTTTCGAATACAGAAATTAGCATGTTTCGAGCTTGATCGAGCGAGCACAACAATACTATGCCGATGGAGTTGTCAGTGGTGATAGGATTAGCACCAGAGGAAGGAAATGTCCCCTTGATACAACTTACTTGGCAGTGACTTGAATGGGTATTCAGAACATTTTTGTGCGCGCATTATAATACAGGCAGCGTAGCAGAAGCTTGGAATGCTTCCGACAGATGGAAAGCAACAGCATGGCTGACTCCCAGGGAATGGGGGCTAGGAACGCAGGTCGCCGCTTGGCCCGCTGAAAAAGTGTGTAGACTCGACGGCTGTGAGTGTTCTCTCCAGACAGGCGCGATGGGAATCATGATGGTGGGAGCTTGAGCGAACACGCGTATGTGGGTGTAATGATGCGCTCAGATTGGTGATCACATGGGTACACAGGTAGGCCGTAGGGTGGGCGAGATCTCTAGAACACGCCAAGGGCAGTATGACGTCGTGGAGGCCCTCTCGAGACGTCGACGGTCGCAGTAAGAAAACCAATAGGCGCACCATTGACTACTACCACGTTCTGTTTGGCCATGGGTAACGACTGTAACTCACCCCAGTCCTATCCCGGTACACATGGCACACGCAGCACACTCCCCTGCGCGGGGTGTGCCCGAAAGAAGCATCAGAAAAGCCCGACCAGTGACTTGTGCTTTCCATTACCAACTTTGCTTCATTGCCTGCAGAGATAAGTTCGTCTTCAGCGTCTTTGTAAACAGCAAAGAACGATCAGTTTCGGTCCAGGATCCAACTGCTCTGGAGAAGAAGCTTGTACACAACTCTAGCCGAAGATTTCAGACATAACAGACACGGACATTGCCTACTTTGCCTTGACTTGCAACCTATCCCGACTGGCATTCGGTGCCCTCCATCGATCGCTGAACAAAGGCCTCCCATCACCGGTGTCATCTTCAAGTACTCCCCATAGTTCCGATCAGGAGGAGGAGGAGGAGGCTTGTTCGAGAGCTACTGCTAACTGACCTACAAGGTCTTGTAAGTTCATTATAATTATGTAAACGTAACCTACTAGTAACCGCGGCTCTGATGAGAAGTCTTGGTTCACACCTTCACACTGCTATCCTCTAATGTCGTGGTTCACACCTTCACACTATCCTCAGTCTAATGTCGTGGTTCACACCTTCACACTATCCTCAGTCTAATGTCGTGGTTCACACCTTCACACTATGCTCTGATGACCACATGCGTCTTTACTCTGAACACTGCAAGTTTGTTCCTAAAACCATCAGTGACCACTACAATTGTAGGCATTGGAGACCTTTCGTGAACCCAATCCTTATTGCATGTACTAGGAATACCAGAGGAGTGATAGTTGAGAACTGACGCTCCTGCTAACGACAATAATATTACGTTGGGGTGCAGCAGTACGGAATACGCTGCCGTTGTTGCTGCTGCTGCTGCTGTTGTTTCTAATCCTTTTGCTTAGGGTTTCCTGGTCATTCCCCTCTCCCTAACTCCGCCTTCCACTTGATAAGTAATGCGGAATCGCTCCCAGTGCTGGTCTGGCTAGAGCCCCAGTGAAAAGCTCCATAGAACAAAGCTTCTTGAGAAGGAGGAAGGAGAATTAATATTAAGGAGGACTCAGTACCAGATTGCAACTTTGCAGCAGCTGTTGTCAGGGTGGTCCAACCATCAAAGCTTCGTCCATATGAGTACACTGTACTATATCCGCGTTTCAATCTCCTAGACTTTGACGCACCAATCACCATGCAGCCCTTTCAGCTTTCATTCCCTACTGCCACTGCCCGGCCCCTAGTAGTGTGATCGAGGAGAATGCATAGTTTCTAGTCTGGTCCTCCAAGACGTGCGTACATGCATCTTGTCATCTACTGTAGCATCTCGCTGTTTCATAAGGATCACTAGTATAATCGGTTGTGGGAACCTTGCGTGGATTACAACAACCTGTCTTGATCGGTGTATACTGTATAGGTCGGACCCTTGAAGTTACTCACTGCGACCAGCGATTAAATACATCCATGTTTGTTCTTTAAAGCTAATATTGAAAAGGCCACCCCCAAATTAAAGCACTAGTAGTCTCTGTCCAGACGGATAGGGTCTACAGTAAGAAGACTAGAGTGTCACTGTAGAGTGTAGTGGTGGAGATATCGAATCATAGAATGGCCATGTCCATGAGGACTACATGTTGTCGTGTTCACCGTTGACCTTTCTGCAAGGCGTGTCAATGTCACTCGCCAAAACTCAGCGAAAGGACTGGAACTGAGTGAGGAGAATAAAGCATGACACAATGGCCGCCAAGTTACTTGGCAAGGTCAGCCACCCTAACCCAGGCAAGGGAGTACAGTGTAGCTACAACATTACTCCCTGCACCAATCAAACACACAACTAAAACCTACTCCGGTACTAGTACTCGTAGATCTCGGCGCTAGTGCACTCTTTCCTCCTATTCCAACCGTTACGTCATGCACTCTACACCTTCACCTGCTTGTACTTGTGCATGTGGGTACATCTACACACTGTATCTGATTGTCTCATTTGAAACCACGGTCTCCCCTGTTTCATTCTGCTTTGCAGCTACAAACCGAGAATGCTGGATATTCGTGCCATGCAGACGGCTGCATTCTGGCGGGCAGTGGCCGCAGAGTTCATTGCCACCTTCTTCCTGGTGTTCGTGGGGTGCGGTTCGACGCTACCGTTCAGACCCGATGAAAGTCTGGACATCGTCAAAGTGTCACTGACGTTCGGCATAACCGTTGCTGGATTAGTTCAGGTAAGCTGCTTGCTATCTTCTAGTAGCTTTGACGATAATTATTATTTTCATGTTCGGAGTGTTTCTCCTCTCACGTTTGAGGATTATGATCCGCGTTGTGATAGAGCCACTTGAACCACAGTGTACAGAAAAACTGTACATCGAAAGTATGTCGTCGGCTGGTTTCGTCAGTTCAGACATCTGTCTTGTAATCACCATCCCACGGGCCACAGTGACACTCTGACTCAGCTGAGTACTACGAGCGACGCTCCATTCCTCCGTCAATCAACCATGGTTCGTTTGCTCGGAACGTTGAGCATACACACTGCACTGGTTGGTCATCTCGTCTCGACTGAGTACCTCTGGACGTGTCGCAATACATGGTCAGTGTCACCGAACAAAATAATAATAATTGATCGCGTGAATACAGCAGCAGCGGAAGCGCTGCTCGCCGTGGGCAGTTAGTAACGGGCGATGGAGCGTGTACAATATTCAGGCTGTGCCAGAAGTCATGGAGATGGGCTGCTTCCGGCCACACGGCACCACACTGATCAGCCATACATATAGCCAGTAGGACTGTGCACCAGCCGAATGGTCGCAGTAGGCTATAGCCTAATAGGTCTACATGGCTTTGTACTCCTACTCGCGAACAAAACCGCTCTTCACCAATGATAGCACAGCTGACACATTAATTAACGGCTTTTCCAAAGCAATGTGTCAGGCACTGGCAGATGGGCCAAGCCAGTGTAAACTATCATGATTCTGCATGCAGGACAGATCAGAGCAGATCTAACCAGGAGATCACTACAGATGATCCAAGGCTGAAGACAGCTGCTGGGTGGTTTGCATAACAATCAGTGTATCATACTAACTGTCTTCGAAGTGCACTACAGTCAGTGTAATGAATAATTGAATATCTGAGTGCATTGTGTGCATGAAGACAAACAAATGCCGGAATTCCTATCCAGCCTAGCATGTATGTGTTGCGGCCATTGGACCAGAGTGCACCTTTGTGGTTTCTAAAAAGAGATTCATTTGCCACACCTAAACACCATTATTCACAGAGTGCAGCCACTAGTTGCCGTGTGTATACACAACAATCCTGGTCATGATTGCATCTCTTCTCTGTGTGTGTGTGTGTGTGTGTGTGTGTGTGTGTGTGTGTATGTGTGTGTGTGTGTGTGTGTGTGTGTGTGTGTGTCTGTGCACACGTGTGCGTTTGTGCATGTGTCTCCGTGAACACAGTTGTTTGGCAGTGTTAGCGGTGGCCACATCAACCCCGCAGTGACAATAGCCATGCTGGCAACAGGCAATATCAGTCCAATCAAAACACTATTCTACATCCTGGCTCAGGTAAGCACAGATGATCTCATAACCACATGCATGCTGCATAACAGTGCATATTGCCGGTGAAATGCACTAGTAGTAGTAGCCACTACGAGCCATTCTTAATCCGGATATATCCCCTTCCAGTGTCCCTAAGGCATTGAATACTACATCATGTGGTAACGTTAGGTGGCCCATACATGGTAGTAGCCAAGTACAGAAGAAGCATGGTAGTAGCCAAGTACAGAAGAAGCATGGTAGTAAGAGTACAAGTAGGTGCTACTTTACTCTACAAGTACAAGTACAAGTACATTGCTGGGTAATCCAACAGGCAGCCATTGGATGGGCCAATGCTGTTGCCCATGCATTTGCATGTGAACTAACACTGAAAACCGCCTACTGTAAGACATGTATATATAACGAGGAAGCAAATCTAACGTTTTAACGGATGACATTTCTTCGTTATAATAAGATCCGTTGAGGCCGTACTGCTTCATATATGCTGTGTGTGGATATGGCAGAATACTGCAAGATCGTTAACATATCTTCTCGTTAACCTTTGAATTTTGGATAATCGTTAAATTTGCGACTCGTTATAATAACATGTCTTACAGTATTGCGAGTTTATACAAAAACGTACCGCAAGTAATATTCTCCGCTATGAAATCATCCACAGGCCGACATCCATGCAATGCATGACTTGCATGTGTGCCCTGATCTGTGTTTCCCATTGCTTTCAACACACACACACACACACACACACACACACACACACACACACACACACACACACACACACACACACACACACAGTGCGTTGGTGGAATCTGCGGCGCAACACTGCTGTATGCCGTGACCCCGGCGCACGCCAGAGGTGGCCTCGGGGCAAACGGCTTGCTCAACGGGACCAGCATTGCCCAGGGCATCGTCATCGAGGTCGTCCTCACAATGCTGCTGGTCTTCGTCATCTTCGCTGCCGCTGTGGACAAACGCAACCAAGCTGGCGGCAGCGCACCGCTGATCATTGGCTTGACAGTCACAGCGACCAACTTGTTTGGAGTAAGTGTACTGAAGTACAGTTATACTCATACTCATACACGCACACCGAGAATACAGAATACAGTAAAACCTGGCAAGCCGGCCATTCTGATAAGGCGGCCACCGGTCCTAGAGGACCACTACAACTCGGAACAAAGGATACCATTTAAATTACAGTCAAATGACCCTAGATATTAAAGGAGAAAAAGATTAGAGGCCACAGTGATTCAGAGTCAGACGTCTTTGCACAGATCACTTGAAGTTGAAGTCGGCGCAGTGGCTGCAAGCCACAATACAATACATTGAGTGATGACACGTTCTGGATATCTTGCATTGAATACACATCCGCACGAGCGTGTGTGCACACTGCATGCACTTGGATTGGTAGCAATGTGAGTTTCAATGCAGTCAGTGCACACTATGCTGCTATGTGATGTGAGCTCTCTCCACCTTGGTCCATGATTGTACATGTACATGACTGTAGTCAAGACTACTGCCGGTTCTGACATGATTATAGCAAGATAACCACGATGGCATAAGCCATGCAATCGAGATGCACGCACTCTGACCAGCGGCTGCATGCTCTTGGCCGCACACAGCCGAGAGAGCATCTGTGTTGCTCGATGATAACGGTCTGCTTCCTTTTGTCCGGTGCATGCTCTATCATACAGATCCCTTACACCGGAGTGTCGATCAATCCAGCACGATCGCTTGGACCAGCGCTGATCAGTGGACAATGGCAGCATCACTGGGTATGTTGTACTGGTGATATGGCTAGGAAATACCCTGCCTGCGTGTCCGCGGCTCCAGGAGAGATCAACCAACAACAACTACGCCAGTATTTATTAAAGTACATATACTTGCACAATCGAACACACACGCACACACACGCACGCACGCACACACACACACACACACACACATACACACATACACACGCGCGCACACGCACACACACATACATGCACACACACACACACACACACACACACATACACACACACACGCACTCCCCGATCGTCCCCACAACGTCACCATGACTGTACACTCGTATGTCGTTTGCCGGTAACTTTCAAATGTCCGTAACTCTGAATCACAGACGTTTTGACGGGAGAAAGGCCGGAGACATGGCATGTGGCGTCACTCTTTCCACAAAACAGTGGAAGCAGAGGTGAAAAATTCCCATTAAAACTCGTCCAAAGGGTGCCTCGTAGACCGAAGTGCACATAACTTTGTGTCCCGAAAACCGAGGTACCCATGTATGGTGAGATCCAGTATCATGGGGAGTGCATGCAGCAGCATACATTACTGTAATTATACGCCTATCTCAAAGTCATTTTAAAGACAAGTGTTGACTTGATTGATTGTGCTGTGGTCAGCAGAGAACAGTGGGTGAGGAAACAAAGTGGAGAAGCATGTTTGTTCTCAGCACGACGTGTGCAGTAGTTGTAACAGAGATCAAGGCTCGTATGTGGGCATGCAAAGGTTTGACGCTGAGTACCAACATTGCTATGCGTATTGTCTGCTGTGTTACCTCTACAGATATTCTGGGCAGGCCCTATCATAGGAGGTTGCACTGCTGCCATACTCTACCAGTACGTCATCGCCCCAATGCCCAACGATGAACGGGAGAAAGACGCAGAGAACGCACGTGACAGTGAGCTACATTCGACGAGACCACTGCATCAGTGCCGCAAGAACTCCGTCTTCTCTCTGGGCGACCTGCGCTCAATCGACACGGAAATAAGCAGCCCTGTCTATATCAACAAGTCGTCCTCCCCAAGCATGCCAGCCATGCCAGCTACAAACGCCACCTTCATACCAAACCCAATCAGTATCGAGCCACCAGAAATCACAGTCACTGAGCCGTCTAAATCAACGAGTAACAGCAAAATATGAGCGATGCTCCAGTGGTGACAGAACTGTATACAAACAGGACAGCATGCGTACCTCGTACATCTGTCAAGCTACACCGAAAGCTGAACACTCTACCTTATCTGACGTCGCAGCATACAGCGCCGTGTCTGCATGTTGTTGTTGATGTCTGGGATCTTCTGAAGCACCGGCACGCACTGTGCTTCTCTTCCTCTCGAACTGTAGCTACAACAAAAGAGCTTGGCTAAAACTCTGACTGACCGTCTCTTCTGGATTTTGCAACATACAGATTCTGTCTCCGTGTGCTGTCGGTGATGGCTATGATCTTCTGAAGCACCGACAAGCAGTGTGCCTCTCCTCCTCTTTCCCTGTAGCTTGCTGGCTATTATGTCAGTGGCAGTATCATCCATTCCATGACACAAGAGTGCATCTCTTTCTCTTCTTGTCAGCTCGTCAGCTGCTGTCCTCAACATGCATACCGTAATAAGGGATCAGTGACATTTTGGTCAGACAAGGGCATGGTGCTCTGTACAAGAAGTGTGCCGGGAATGGCTGTATAACACTTGGCAACATGTGACGGCACCCATTGCAACATAGCAACACCGCTGGCTATCCTTACTGAAGCACACACTGGCCGCTAAACAAACTCAGCCACATGCACAACTCACTTTTAAAACAGTTAACCTAACCTCAAAGAATAGAATATACGGTATGTTGACATAGAGATTACATCATGGTAATCAACTCAGTTCCCACTTGACCAGACATTAGGCTTGCTACTTCATTTTCTCACTGTACATGTACAGTTTCATATTTTAAAATCATGTCAAAGCCAGCTACAGGTACTGGTACTTCAGTATTATCTTTCTTTCGTGCATGAGGAAATTCCCCATGTGTGTGATATAAGCTTTAAAACTAAAGTTCAATTTCTTTTGCAACCAAACTATTGGACCTAAAACACAGAGGCACTGAGGTTCGAAACATAATTCCACCTTCCTTCATGGCACTGAGCTTGAAAAAAAAAGTATATGTATTCTTAGTGTGGATTCACGATAATAATTATTATCACCAACTAGCAATATACTTTTAAAAATCCTGTAGGACGTGTTACGCAGCTTATAAGTGATAAGTACTAGTGGGTTGTGACCAGGGAGTCGTAAAAAAAGTATTTTACGACTCCCTGGTTGTGACAACTGTGGCTCACACTTATTCTGTCCCTCCAGGAAATCGCGATTCCACGGACGCAACAAATTTCGCGATTTTGGCCCAAACCCGCGATTTTCTGAAAAATCCGCGATTTCCCGCGTTTTTTGCTGTTTTCTGCACTTCTTTTGACATTTTTCTGCACTTTTCACGCAGTATACAGTGCTTTCCATGAAAGGCATGATCCTGCTCGTAGGTTATTTCCACAGTACGCAAATAGCGATTCTAAGGATACAACAAATTTCGTGATTTGGCCCAAATCCGCAATTTTCTGCCAATAATTCCGCGAGTTCCTGGCAAGTTCCGCACTTTTCGCCGCATTTTTTGTTGTTTTCTGCCGCAATTTCTTGCGCAAGTTTTCTAGGATTTTTTCCGCAAATTCCCGCAGGGACAGCTTATTAAACCTAAACACATTATACACAAGAGAGGTTGGAAGCTGTGTCGCACCTCTGAGTTTCACGTACTACTAGGACACCGGCAGCTTCCAATCTCTCTCTTGTGTACACGGCTCTGCCCTCATGGGTATTGAGCACTCTTCGGACAGTGAAGCACACCACTTGATTACGTCAATATAATTATTATTATAGAAAAATTATGTTGTGACCGTTATGAGTGCAGTTTCTACTTCAGCTGTATTTCATGTTCAGCTGTATTTCATGTGACAATTGCTTTCTCTGTTCCCTTTATAAAGGATGGAACTGAATACAGACTTGAGGAAAGTAAAAAAAAATGTAAAATAGATAAAACCCTGTCCGAGAGAGAAAAGAGAGAGAAAAAGAAAAGAGTGGAAGAGAGGGAGAGACGGGAGAGACGGGAGGTGGGGGTGTTGATACACTGTCTAGTAGGTAAAGAGAAGCACCAGTAAAAACAAACTCAACACGCTTAAAAAAAGAAGAAGTTAACGTATGTCATTGGAAAATATACCTGTGAGAGCGGCTAGAATAAAAAAAGGATGGTTTCTTTGAACAAGAAAAGAGTTGAAAGCTGAACTGACATTAATCTAGAACATACCACTGCACCGTGACTTGACTGGAGACTCACCATCAATAGAGTAGATAGCTGAAGACAAAAACAAAGAGAGGGTGGAAATCAAGACAGGAGGGTATTAGACTATTTGCTGATTCACACACCACCGAGTTGGCAGCGATGTTAGGTCCTATGCCAGCGGGCACATGCAGCAGCAGGTGGACAGGAAAAAGCAGGTCAGACAGCAGAGAAGAATAAGAGCAGCATTAAACATGGACCATTGCGAGCAAAATCATGTCTTCAGGGCTAAATCACGCCACGCCGATGATACTAAAAAATATTTCTCGAAAACCGTTACTCAGTCCCAAAGACACAATCTGACTTACAATGGACAACATATTAGAGCCACCATGGCCACCATGGACATGCATCGAGCTAATATATTAGAGCCACCATGGACATGCATCGAGCTAATTGCACATGTAACAGCATGGGGCATTCTACTTTTCTGTTCGATTTAGCCAACACATAAAGCACATTCACAAGTCCACGGCCGGCCCTGTGTGCTAGGTAGTGGTGAGGCATACAGGTGGGTGTAAGCCTCGTAATGGCGACTTCCAGTACTGAACATCATGCAAAATAACCAGTACTGAACATCATGCAAAATAACCAGTACTGAACATCATGCAAAATGAACATGAAGTAGACAAGGGTGAAATGAGTGAGCCTGGCCACTATTGACGGAGCGATCAAGTATTCGCGAGGGAAAACTAGAATGCAGAGGATATGCTTATTTCTCGTTGGCTGAGCGAAGCGAAAGAAACGAGAAATGTTGTTCTCTGCAAAAATTATTTGCACGCGCTGAATGGGTATGGGGGCTTTGGTTGCTGCGAAGAAGTGCGTCTGCATAGATTTGCAGTTCATTGTTTTTCTTCTTGCCAAGTGTGCAGATACTTAGTTTCATTGTCGAGTTTTTCCTCTCAAACATTGTCATGAGTCGTCGTGGTGCAAGCGCTGGTGGGGAGGGAGGAGGTGCTCATGATGTGTCCGCCTTCGATTTTCACCGATTCGGACAAGATAAATACGTCGACTTCCGAATATGAAACTGCCCTGGAGAGGCAGGATGAAGAAGCGCCTTCAGCCCGGATACCACATTCACAGCTCGAAGCAGAGAGGGACCTGCTGGGGATGTAGTTAAGGATGCTAGAGCGCAGCGTCAGCAAGCTGACGGAAAGAGGCCGATCACTGAAGAGGAAGAGGAGAGATTCTTCAGACTCTAAACCGTCACCGTCATCGTCGTCGTCTTCCTCCTCCTCGGATTCTAGCAGGTCTAGATCCCCGAAGCGCAGGAGAAAACCCGATGTCTCAGGCTGGAAGACAACGAGTTATGCGAAGCAGTTCGTGCTGAATACAGAACTGCTGAATCTGCTCCAAGCCCAGAAATCAAAATCGAAGACAAGGAGAAGGAAAGCTGCAAAGAAAGGTGAGAGGTTATTGAAGAAGAGGCAGGAATGGCTGCTGATAGCAGAAAATCATGGCCACCAGGTGGCGACAGCTTACCAAGACGAAAGCCAATTTATGGCTGTGGGTGGGGACTCAAAAAAGCAGAAACGTCTCCAAGCGGTTATCTATTCCGAGGGAGCAAGAAAGAAAGCAGCCGGGGCCGTACAGGGAGCGAGCATGGGAAGCATGAATATCCCCATGGCGCAGGGAGCCGGTTTGCCGCTTAGGCAATCACCCATGCCCGTGCAGCCTATGCAGGGTAATCTACCCTCCTACGAGCATGTACATTGTATCAATGTTTTCTGAAACGAAATTGGTCAACCCCCTCCCACCCCATAACGAAATTATTTCGTTTTGTGAAAAAAAGTGCGATATTAGTGAGGTTCTGCCACACGGTAAAACGTGCCAAAGTACGTATGGAAACTTCGCCGCGGTACGGGATTTAGTTTGATACGGATTTTTTCATACCGTTTTCCGTGTGAAGCGCGCTTCACACGGACTGGACTCCGTGTGAAAAGTGAGCGTACAGAGTACATGTGGTGGGGTGTTCGTGCATGCTTCGAGCATGCTACGTACAGCAGAACCGGTGCAACGTACGAAAATTCCGTGTCAAACTTCACTGCAGTCGACACGGAGTTTGGTACATAGTTCCGTGTAGCAGAACCTCTCTATTTATGGATGACCCCTTAGTTCTAGGTTTAATAAGTGTGATTACTGTTGAGCTTGTACTGTTACCTGATTGTATCTGATAGTGGCAAGAAGTCTTGTGCAGCAGGCCTGCACATACCGCATGTATGTAGTTATTGTGCGTGGTTGTGGTTCAGTATGCGGGTTGATGCACGGGCAAATCATTTGAAGCTGAGAAGCACTATTTTTCACACCAGTACCCAATTCTCTGTCGTATTCAATATTCAGTGCATTTGGTAAAATCCCAGCTCAGGTATTACCCTAACTTATGGGCAGAGTGGATCCAAAAGTCATTGTTTGTCATCATTCGTTGACTTCGGATCACCATGTTTAAAGGGGAACTGTCACCAAAATTTTTCTTTGTCTTATCTTGTAGTTCTTTGGCTCCTGATCACGATGGTGTTATTCGTTTTTCTCTGCGATGACTGGAAGTGGGTGGAAACTTGAAAAGAAGGTGCCCAAAATTGTCCCGAAGTACCGAGTGACGTCACGCTGGACTTGACCTCCACGCGTACATTCATCGTCAAAAACGAAGTCCAGCCCGTGTGCTGGTCGATCGAGCCAACTGTTCAATGTACGGTGCACGCTTTCCTTCTGAACTCGCACATTGATGTGTACGTTGTACACAATGAGAACGCCAAAAAGGGACAAAACAAACAAAAGTCGACAGAAGTTTGTCGCACTGGTACTTCCTCCACGAAGCTCCAGCTCTTTGTTTTATTTGTGATTACGAAGGAGTGGAAGGATGTTTGTTTGCTGTTAGTGTGACACACATACCTCGTACTTGAAAATTATGTCGTTGTATCGAAGGTGGCGGTGTTGCCCACCCGGCTCTGAAATGAAAGATGTCGGAGTTTGTCATCTGCATCTTCAGCAACATCGCCAGATGAATCGCCTTCACGTAGCTACATTGCGTTCCTTTGGGGCTCGGGTCGGCGGTGTTGTCGCCGGCCGGAGGAGTACTGTTTTCGGCATACGCGCTCATCATCGTGTATTTCCTCACACGAAAAGTTCAAAACAACGACGTACTTCCGTGCTCACAAAATAAAACTTAGATCCTCGCGGAAGAAGCCAAAAAGGTGAGAGCTCAGCTGCTTTTTATTTTGATTTGGCTGTGTAGCTGCATGTGGGTCTCTGCCTCTTTGGCATTCTCCTTCGGTTCGACGTACCCATCTGTGTTAGAGTTCAAAAGGCACACATGCACCGTACATCGGAACAGCTAGCTCAATCGACCATGTACCAGCACACGGGCTGGACTTCGTTTTGGACGACGAATGTACGCGTGGAGGTCAAGCCCGGCGTGACGTCACTCGGTACTTCGGGACAATTTTGGGCACCTTCTTTTCAAGTTTTCACCCACTTCCAGCCATCGCAGAGAAAAACGGATAACACCATCGTGATCAGGAGCCAAGGAACTACAAGATAAGACAAAGAATTTTTTTGGTGACAGTTCCCCTTTAAGCCTTATAAGTATATGATTGGATCTAGGTTTGGGTCACCTTGCCCCTAAGGCGATCCGTATGCTAAACAAACTCGAAGAGCTGGCGTCACAAACTCACCCACTATAACAGTCTGACCGCAAAGTAGCAGCAGTAGCCCACGGTCTCCACCGGCCAGCACCGAGTCTGAGAGGCAGTACACTTCCCATCGTGGTATAGCTAGCTACAGCTAACGTTAAAGTCTGCAGCACCAGTGAAACTTGGCGTGTATTCAAATAGGAAGCTGTACGTACTATCCACCGCCGGCAGTAGCCAAGGCCATGGTTGCTCCGTATTGTAGGTAGCCAGGGTATCAGGATGGGTGAATTCTTTGCTGCTTGGATGGCTCATCACGACATCAGCATCAACGTCAGCTGCGCACGTGAATAAGGCATCAGGGCTGGGGTGAGCTTCTTGAGATAATCCAGATTATGTTCGGAACAAGGAGAGACGAGGTGTATAGACAGCTACCGGTAACCGGCAATTAAATGAGTACATTATAGGAGTTGAAGATGTAAGTATCACTCTCAGATGTTGGGTATTTTCTATGTTAGCAGGTCAGGGTGTCCTCTAGTACTGCGGAGTTACTGCAGTTGGACGATTGTTTGGAGCAGCTCCCTTGAAGACAAACACTGGCCAAGGGACACACTACTCAGATCGAGACAATCTTCGGCACACCATCTGGTCTGTCGGCCAGTGAAGCCACGTATCCAGGTTGACCACCAGCCAGTTGGGCAGAAGCCGCTGAGGCATTCAATTTTCCACTGGCCGCCTCCTGCTTTCTCTCTTCCGCTCGCCGTTGTTTGCGCTCCTTCTTCTTGTCAGCTTTGCGAGCTTTGCCAGCAGTGTGTTTGCCGACCTGGAATAACAAAAACAATAAGAATGATGTGACAGCTAAATGAGTATGTCCTCGCAATGAGTATGCTAGAAAACTGCAAGGTATTCGTGTGCGTACATGTATGCAGGTGGATCTGGTTGTGCCAGGAGGGCTCCACGGACCGGGCTACCCACACCGAGAAGTTGCTAAACCATATCAATTATAATTATCATGTGACCAAAGTAAGATACTCATAAGATGGACAGGCGGTCTAAACAGGATAACATTACCAGCAACTGTAACTTATATCTCACCTTCACTCGGACAGCGGATGATGGGACAGTGCCACTAGAAGCTGTGCCATGCTGCTTCTTGACCGAGGGCGGGCAGCCAGTCTCTGATGATGGGGGTGGTTTCCCAGCGCAGGAAAGCCCCAGGCCAGAGAGATCCACACCACTGGCACCAGTGACAATACTATCGGTCTGCAGACAAGATATCGGCTCAGCAGCGGCAGTGCCTGTAGACGATGCCGACGCTGCTGATGGTTGATTCAGGGGCCTACTCAACTCCTCAATTTGAATTGCAAGCAGTGCAGCTTCAACATCATCCATAAACAGTGGCTTCTTCGTGTTGGCTCCAGAACCTGATGACACTCCTGTAGCGCCTTTACCATTTTGGTATATAGGAGGTGGATTGGGTGATGATGGTGAAGATCCGTTGCTTGAGACTCTACAACCACAAGCGGCATCAGATCCATGCGGACAGCTGGCATCCTCCTCCATAGACACCCTGCCAGAAGCCGCTTGTTTGCGACTGCCGCTGGGAGGTGCCATGTCGGTTTCGTCAAGTGCTGGCAATCCCTGGCGATCAGACTTGCCGGAAATCGGAGAACTCGAAGGTAACACAGGAGCAGGCACAGCTAGCGCTGGAGATGGTGTAGAATGTCTGCCAGGTGTACCAGTATAACACTCACTAGATACCATGGGAGAAGTTACTGATGCTACTGTTGTTGTGACTGCTGATCTACTGGCGATCTTCGATACTTCCAATAGAGCTGCTGCTGCCGCCGCTGTCGTCGCTAAAGTGACTGGTGTCACAGGTGTAGTGCATGTTGCTGGTGCTCCGGTCACTGCTGCCGGTTTGACCTGATCTTTGCCTGCACTGGGACAAGCCGAAGTAGAAGAAGGGGGTGCTGCTGCCTCGCTTGCAAGCTCAGACTTATCTGAAGGAAAGAAAGAAAAAAGAGTGATACAGGCAAGTTCTGATCTGATGGGTCTCCAAGGGGAATGGACAACTGCATAATTCATTGCAGTTATCGCCTGTGACATTCAGCAAATTTCAGCAGACAACAAGATGGTGAAGTGTCGGCAGATTACCTGTGCCTGGGGACTGGCTATGCAGCATAAGCACGCACTCGGTAGCCAGCTCAATGTCATAGTTGAACTGCTCCAGAGCTCCCTCCAACAGTACAATATCCTGAGGGGAAGAATTGAAAAGAAAAAGCAACAACTGGATGCGGAGGTCATGCACAGCACAGCATGCCACGGTACAGCACTACACAGTATCGTAAAGCACGGCACCACACAGCACGGCACCACACAGCACGGCACCACGCAGCACGGCACCACGCAGCACGGCACCACGCAGCACGGCATCACACAGCACGGCACCACGCAGCACGGCACCACGCAGCACGGCACCACACAGCACGGCACCACGCAGCATGGCACCACACAGCACGGCACCACACAGCACGGCACCACACAGCACGGCACCACACAGCACGGCACCAAGCAGCACGGCACCACACAGCACGGCACCACGCAGCACGGCACCACGCAGCACGGCACCACGCAGCACGGCACCACGCAGCACGGCACCACGCAGCACGGCACCACGCAGCAGGGTACCACGCAGCACGGCACCACGCAGCACGGCACCACGCAGCACGGCACCACGGCACGGTATGCCCCCACATGAGCGCGACCCAAAACAGCGCCGTTGACTTCAGCGCCCCCCAAAAGCCCCATCCCCATAACTGGACATCCCCTAAACAGACCACCCCGTCAGCGCGCACGCTCAATACAGGTCGACTCATTTACACTCAAACCCAAAAGATGGACACTCGACTTGTCAAAGACTCAAATCATGATCAACTCGAAATGGCCAGTTCGGTATTGAAGGGCGATATTGCCTGGATTCAATTTATAATCAACTCTAGAAAGCAATGATGAACTAAAAAAAGCAATTATCGACTCAAAAACACCAGTTCAGTATTAATGGCGATATTGCCTGGATGGACGTTAACAGGTCCAGATACAAAATTAGGTTGTAGTCAACTCTAGAAGGCAATGATCAACTCAAAACAAGCAATGATCGTCTCAAAAAAAGTTCACTGTTAAATTTTTTGGTTTTCCGAAAATGGTAATCTGCAATGGATTGTCATTAACTGAAACAGAAAAAGAAAAAAATAAGGCGCCCATTTTGGTAGTCAAGGGGATGGCCCACGCCTGGTAAAGAGAAAAAAATGGAGAAGATGTAAATATTCAGAATTTTCGCTTCGCTCATCTTCCCTTCTTCGGTCCTACGTAACCACGAACCTTCCAAGTTGGAAGGTTGGTTTGCGCACTGGAGATGTGTTAGAGCTAGGTCTCGGGCCGCTGAATGTCTCAGGGGCCTGTCAGTTTCGTGCCCTATTATCCCACAGTCACTTTTTGACTGTTTATCATCTTGTTACAGTCGTGGATAGTTTCTGCACAACTCGTTCTCATGTGTTTCTTCTCTTTTTTGCATATCTTTTTTAGGAACGGGTTTGCTCCTGATATCCACCATGGTAATACTAACATCAAGAGTACATAAAACTGGCTATGCACTCTTGCTAACATGAGCCTGCACATTATGGGTCACGTGTGTAATGAGCTGGCTTATATTCGGACGTTAACGTAATTGGTCGCGCCAAAATGGGGCGTGCAAGAGATGAGACGAGCTGTAGTGACACCGTGTCACATTAGGTCGCGCTGTACTGGGGGTGCTAATATGAACACGCGCCGTTTATGGTTGCGCTGTTTTGGGTGTAAATCCACGGCACCACGCAGCACGGCACCACGCAGCACGGCACCACACAGCACGGCACCACGCAGCACGGCACCACGCAGCACGGCACCACGCAGCACGGCACCACGCAGCACGGCACCACGCAGCACGGCACCACGCAGCACGGCACCACGCAGCACGGCACCACGCAGCACGGCACCACACAGCACGGCACCACGCAGCACGGCACCACGCAGCACGGCACCACGCAGCACGGCACCACGCAGCACGGCACCACACAGCACGACACCACGCAGCACGGCACCACGCAGCACGGCACCACGCAGCACGGCACCACGCAGCACGGCACCACGCAGCACGGCACCACGCAGCACGGCACCACGCAGCACGGCACCACGCAGCACGGCACCACGCAGCACGGCACCACGCAGCACGGCACCACGCAGCACGGCACCACGCAGCACAGCACCACGCAGCACGGCACCACGCAGCACGGCACCACACAGCACGGCACCACACAACATGGTACCACGCAGCACGGCACCACGCAGCATGGTACCACGCAGCACAGGACAGCGTGGTGCAGGTACAGCACCACGTAGCAGAGCACGGCACGGCACAGTATTGTCTGATTCCACCAACTAAAAGACCATCTGCAGTTATTCCAGAATAAGAGAGCTGGTTCCCATGAAAGTAAAAACTTGGGACCATCTACCCACACCCTAATATGAGCTACATGTTTTGACCAATCAGCAGCGGGCATACCGTAGAAATTTGCTGCCTGTGCTAAAATTGGCTGAGGAGTATGGGGTGTAACCTACGGCATGTCGTGTAGTCAAAAATGAAAATCTCTCAGAAAGCGTCGAAAACTATCTCAAACGATAGCTCTTGTGCTGAAGCACGACTCCTGAAGATTCGAGGGGATTCGCTCAAAGGACTTCAGAGATAGAGCATTTCGAAGATCGAGATAGATCTGCAAATTTCACAATTTTGATTTTGTAATTGGTTCTTTTCGTTTTAGAACGCAATCAATCGTGTTATGATAAAAACCTTCCTTGATATAGTTCAAATTTTGTGCAAATCTCAGGAGCACTGCATGGAGTGATTTGGCGACCTCTGCGCATGGGTTTGGTTACCATGATAGCTGTCAGAGTGATTGCGCATGCGCAAATTCAAATTTGATTCAAATTAATTATCTGATGGAAACATTTTTGTTGTTTCGTTCTGTGACAAGCTGGCAGGCGTTGTTTTTCTATTGCGATGGGGAAGAAGCGAGCTCAAGGCCGACCAGGCAGACCCAGGAAGAGGAAATTTTTCATGGAAATCAACCGCTGAGAGCCGAATCGGTAGATGAAGCTGCAGTATGTGCGCCAGAAAATCTTGACGATTATCTGCCAAATTTCAACGATTATTTGCCTTCTAGTTCTGATGATGCTGAGATTTCTTCCGAGGATGATCTGAGCACAAGCGATTCGAGTTCAGGATCCAGTTCAGACTCGGACGATGACAATGATGCAGAATTACCTCATGGATTCAGGCTCGTCGACTTGGTGTGTCTTTAAACTCTTTTGTTGGCTTCTGTGTGTTGCAAAATTTGTCATGGACCAGTCACTCTGAGTGAGCCGAAGAGTCAAGGGTTTGCATCCTGCCTGGAGCTGACCTGTCAAACCTGTGAAGCTCACACATCGCAGTATATGTCAGACAAACATAAGCGTGATTGGGATGTAAACCGACGAGCTGTGTTTGGCATGCGCTGGATCAGTCGCGGGCACGGAGCAATGCTGAAGTTGGGAGTTGCTTTGAATATGCCTGTGCCCATGACCATCTCCGCATACCAAGGACATGCCAAGGCTCTACACAAATCGGCCAAGGTTGTTGCTGAGCATAGCATGAGTGCGGCAGCGACACAAGTCTTGGACAATGCACCTGGAGATGTCGTTATTGCCGACACTGCCGTTACGTATGACGGAACCTGGATGCGCAGAGGCTATGCATCGCTGTATGGTGTTTTTGTGGCCATGGCATGGGGCACAGGCAAAGTCCTTGACGATGTTCTATCCCGATTCTGCCACCAGTGCGCCCACTTCAAGAACCAGCATGCAAAGAAAGAGTTGACAAATGCTGAACTGCAGGACAAGCTGGACAACCATGAATGCCGTGCCAACACCCAGAGCTCAGCACCCGCAATGGAATGTGAAGCTGCCCTGAAGATATGGAGGAGATCCAGAGAAACGAGGAAGTTTCAGTACAGTGTCTTTATAGGGGACGGAGATACAAAGAGTTTCAAGGCAGTGCATGACTCATATCCATATGGCGAAGACGTGGAGATCACGAAGGAAGAATGCGTGGGCCATGTTCAAAACACGTTGGACATCGGTTGCGGAAGCTAAAGAAGGACCTCTCTGGGAAGAAGTTGGCTGATGGTGGCAGGATCAGTGGTCGTGGTCGTCTCACAGACCAACTTATAGACAAACTACAAGCCTACTATGGTATGGCAGTGCGCAGCAACAAGGGCGACCTACAGTCCATGGCCAAAGCCATAATTATGGGCTTCCATGATGCACCGAGTGTCAACTGATGAGAAGCCCCAACATCTGCACTGTCCACCGGGACTGGAGAGCTGGTGCAAGTGGCAGCAACAGCAAGCTGGTGGACCGCCTTACGAGCACCACAACGTCATACCTGAAGCAATCTTCTCTGTAATCAAGCCGATCTTCATGGACCTGTCCGCACGCCCACTACTTGAGCGCTGTATGCGAGGCGCCACACAAAACCAGAAAGCATGCTTCAATGGAATTGTGCGGCAGCTCTGCCCCAAGACAAGCTTCTGCTCCGCTCTGACTGTAGAAACTGCAGTCTACATTGCAGCAAGCTGGTTCAACGATGGTGCTGCAAGCATTGAGATGCTATTCTGCAAGATGGGTCTACCCGTAGGCAACTACACCGCCTCCACCAGTGTGCTGTTGGATGCCAAGAGAAGGTCAGGTGCAGCCAGAAAGCAGTTGGGGCCCATCAAGCTGTCCAGGAAAAAGCGCAGGAGGTTGAGGAAGGGTGGACAGGATGCAGCAGAAGAGCTAGAAGGCAGGTATGTGACAGGTGGTCACTATGACATCATCATGCTGTGGCAGGTGGTCACTATGACATCATCATGCTGTGAAATGCTGAGATTCGGAGTGCTTTTTTCTCCTATTTTAGGGGTGTTCTGCAGCTTCTAACCACGATTGCAGGATGCCAGTGCATGACACATCCCACAATGTACATATTCTGAACTCTGTGACATGTTTGGCTAGGTGCTAAACTTATTGTTCCGTGCATTACTGCAAGTTTTATGATGTTTACACCTCATTGAAGGAGGCGTTGTCAATGTGCGCGAATTTTTATATCTCTTGCTCTGGGTACTGCGTTTCTCCTTGTCAATAGAT